AACTGCACAGAATTATCACTCTCATTTTTCCGAGTGGCAACAGTGCTGATATCAGCAACAATGGCTACAGTGATATATCAGCAACAATGGCTGCGTGCCATAATTGCTGATAAAATGAGAAAGAATTATCGATTTGATGCGATTTCATCAAAAAACATAAAATAAAACCTCACCCGAATTTAAAAAAAATCGCTTCGAGATGCACTGGCTCTTGTCTAGATGCATCTATGTACCAAATTTCGTACCCCTGGGTCTATTAGCTTACGCGCAGCACGAACGAAAGACATATACACACACAGACATGCAGACACACACATACTCTTCCTTATATATATATAGAGAGAGAGAGAAGATTAAAAATTAAGATATTTAGAAGTTTCTGTCATTTCAGGCATAATTTTGTAAAAGGATTAATGGTTGAAGACACAGTAAAAAGTGAAAAATTGCAATCAGCATTAACTTTAATAAGCAACCGTAAAGTTAAAAAAATTAAAATAAATTTATACTAGAAATGATTAAAAAAGTCTAGGAAAGAGCTGAAAATGAAGTAAGCGAAGCACTTAATAAAAAAAATGAGAAACGATCTAATGCAGTGGGTAAACTATAAATCAAAATTAAAAAGAGAACTGGAAAAACTCACCGAAACTCATATGGCACGAAATTTTAGTCTAAGAGGGTGGACACACGGAAGAAGAAAATGCTTGTACAAAATGGCGAGCGCACCATGTGGAAGATAGCAGAAAAAAAGGAAGTTCATTACGAGCTAATCAGATCTAAGTTAACATTATCCTCCAAATAACGATTATTGAAGGAGTAAAAGCAACAAGAATCAGCGTAATATTCATAAATTTTCAGAACAGCATACGCATATTTACGATGTACATACATATATTTATGAAACTTACGCTATTTATTTAACTTTTTCACACATAAAAAAATTTTAAAGAAGGAAGAAGATCAAAATTTTCATAGATTGATAATAAGTCTGTAAAAGCTATTTGAGAACCTTACGTTCCACTCAGATATGTAGCTTTTGGATGCAACAGATAACACATTTTGAATCGTTGAAATTTAATTTCTTAGCCTTTTGATTGTCATTAACGAGCTTAGCTTGCATTTCAGTTACGCGTCGTAGTGGGCACAAAAGAACGTGGCTCACATTATAAATTTATGATCGAGAGATATCGCGCGAACTTGGGAAGGAAGAATTGCTTAATCTGGTCGAAGGGTTAATAACTTCTTTGTGAGAGCACGCTTGATCGACAAATGCTCAGATAGGTGAAACTGATCCCTTACAGAGAAAAACATACTAGGTTTTGAGTTACAGCTGAAGCCCAACTATTTTAGTGCAACAATATTTTTCAGAACAGAAAATTCACATTCAACATCGTTAATTTCACTGGATTTTTTTAAGCCTGATGTTGATTATTTAGTGCTTTGTTTCCTAAGATCTGATGACTTGAAAAGTAATGTGAACCTGTGAAATATATCGATGCTATTTCATTCTTAAATAATAATCTCATGTGTTCAATCCATTGAAGTAATAATCTCGTATATTCAGTCCACTCGCCCTATAGCAATTGGCACCTTGCTCTGCTAATCACAGTGCCGTTCGGGGCGGGTCAGTGGTAGATTTAAAAAAGTATATATAATTTGTTTACGATTTTCCTTCCCATCTTGTAATAATTCATAGCACAAAAGGGATGAAATACCGTTATTTTAAGCACTAAAGAAAGTGATCCAGTATGATAATTCTGTAGCTTGAGAATTTGCTTCTTTTTAATTGACTCAGAAACATACGATAAGGAATCAGTCGCTTTGAAATACTCGAAAGAAATTTGTAATATCCCTCGCTTCTTTGTCTACGATAAAATGTCGAGGAACCTAGTACATTAAATAGCGACTAATCGCTGAGTTTAAGCTCTTACAACGCAGACTCGAGAATGGTTAAAATACTCTTTTGTTCACTCAAAGAAATGATTAACAGTTGGCCCCTTCTCGGGCTTACAGGAAAGCCTCCACTCGGGATTTTAAATCAGGATAAGAAAATAAGAACTAATCCAATATTAACTAAAATAGACTTAGCCGAAGCTATACCCAAATATCTAACGTAGTTGGTTCTTAATTTAAAGTAGCCGGCGATTATCAACAGGCATGTACAATACGGCCGAGCGTAATAGATTCAAGAACGAAGCAGCCAAAAGCAAACCCACCCCACTAATGATTCCTAAGCAATTTATTTCGAAGTCAGTTGAACTTCCTTAAATTACTACTTCTAACTCATTTGCATTCAAAGCGATTCTGAAAACTTATTTTGGCTTGTTGTATTCTAGAGTTGTAAGTCGAAAACAAAAATTGAAAGAAAAAGGTTTCAGAATTAAAAATAACTGCTATAAAATTAACATACACCTTATAAATTAATTATTCTGTTTTGTAATTATTAATTTGATCATTTAATGATATTATTTATATGGTATTCATAAAGTCTGAGGTAGAACAAAATGTAAACTGTTTAAAATGCAAAGGCAGAATATGCAACCACTGAAAGGGCGAGAATTTCGGAAATAATTCTTTGTAATTTTCTTTCTTATCAATATTTTTCGATTTTACTTCCCTTCACTCATATTCATGAGAATACTTTGGTATGTGTATGTCTGTTTAGGACAAGGGTTCCCAGCCTTTTTGTCCCTATGAGCACATTCTAAAATATCTATTGGACGGCAGGCACCATTTACTTTTTCAAGATGCATTTATAGTTGGACAGAGTTGATAATACATGCACATAAAAAAAGAGATTGGTCGCATTTCGTTTTGTGCTCGTATCTGCGTTGGACGCAATTTTTATTTGATTAAAAATGAGAAAACTTTCGCATAACATTTTATTGAAAACTAAAACATTTTTATTGTGATCGCACAGCGGCGGGCACACATAAAACGATCGGCGGGTGCCCGCGGGCATAGGGTTGGGAATCCCTGATCTAGAAGGATCCTCCTAGATCAGGATTGAGGCTACATGCTTTATTAATAGTTGCAAAATTTTTAAAAATAAGGTAAAGAATTTTATTAAAGGAGTTTAATCACAGTGACTAAGAGGAGTATTGGGACCAAAATACCTAAATTTTTATATGGTCTAAGTAATGAAAGTTTCCTTTAGTACAGTATTATTTATATTTAAATGAGTAAAAAATTCTATACTTCTACATACAAAATTCTCAAAAATGTTCAAGAATAAATTTACTGATTTGACTATTCACTGACATTTCATTATTCACTGATTGAATCACCGATTAACCTCATTTTTCGAAGTTGGTTATAAATTAAAGGCATCAGAGAAGAGTTTTTCCAGATGCAGCTATATAGTAAATACTGCTGTTTTCAGCGATTGTTGGTTTCGCTTTTCATATCCCCACACACAATATATTTCGTTGTTGAGATTACTATTGTTTCGTTATTAAACTCCTGAAACTTTTTATAGACCTTAACTCCTCAAATTTTGCCTCTAATAGTATGAAACGCTTTATTTCCAATTCATCTAAGTATAATGAATAGTTTACTAACTGAATTGTTTTGTCTACGGTGACCTTAGAAATAATTTTTTGGAGACTATAAAATAGATTTTATGTTTTCAAACCCTTCTCATTAACAATTTTGAAACTGCTTTTGCAAAATTCCGTCTTATTCTAACAAACTTTGAGATTCGAAATACATGCATAGAGTAACTATTTAAAGTAATAAAGCCTATAGCCCCATTTTTTAAAGGTTCCGTTTTATATTAAACCCTGATGTATTGTGGGCGTTTTGAAATTGCTTTTTACATAGGATTTATCTTATCCTGATTCTAAGCCCTTACTGTAATGTTAATAGATTTGATTATCAAGAAATGCAGCAATTTAAAGTGAACAGCTTGATTTTTAGTAAATTTTAATACACAGCTTGAATTTCGGCCAATAACATAAATGATCATTTAAAAATTTTTTAATTAATCGAAGGAAATTTCTTACCTACAAGTTTAAAATTCTTTGGTTCATTTAGAATTAGTAAACGCAAAGTTCATTTAGAACTAGAAAAACTTGTAAGGTATTTGCTCCCTCCTTTCAGCATGCTTTCGTGATGCAACGGCTAGCACACTCGGCGTGTATTCGAGGGGTCCAGGGTTCGAGTCCCAGACATTGCTTATTTTTCATGTCTCCTGCATCAAAATGACCTAATGTACCTACAGTGACGCCCGAACTAGAAAAGGTGGTGGATGATGATTCTTCAGCACCAGAATTTGACGATTGGTTCTTCTAATCCCCATCCGCCCTTTAAAAGGGGGAGTATGTAAGGTATTTTCTCCCTACTTTCAGCATGCCTTCGTGGTGTAACGGCAAGCACACTCGGTGCGTTTTCGAGAGGTCCATGGTTCGAGTCCCGGCGAGGGCATTGCTCATTTTTCATGTACTCCTCCTTCAAAAAATACTAATGACTCTACAAAGTTAAGAGTAAAATTTTCCACTTCTTATGTTCTTTCACATAATATTTTAGGCTTTTCATGCCTAAAATATTATAGACACATCTTAAACACATCTTTCTTTGCGCAGCTGGGGAATCAAGATCTAATGTTAAGGAAGAGATAGCTTTTGGCAACCAGTGACGTAGTCAGAAGATTAAATGACTAATTTACATCATTCTGCGAACCAGAGTAACATCTTCGCAGCCGTTGACTATCCCAGATTTGAATCATGGCTCATTCAAAAGTTTTTAAAATTGTACCCTTTCTAAAACTCAGTTACAGGTGATAAACTGATTAATGACAGAGTGACACAGAAAATATTCTGACGATGATTTATATTATACTTAAAAATGTAAAGTATTCGTCTCTTTAAGCTAAGCAGTACATTAGGAAAAGTTCATAATTCAAAACTCAAGATCCTTAAATTTGCCACTAACATTTTTACTTTCCATCAAGTTGTAAGTAATGTGTATATGCTAACCAAGTAAATCAGTCTTTTATTTTTCAGGTCAGGGACGTGAAGTAAACCAAATGGAATCTCTATACCTTTCTTGCATTTTGTTTATTGCCTTTGTGGCAACAGCTGCCTCAAAGAGTGTGGGTAAGAAACTTTACGGTAATAATATCAGGCATTCATTTCAGCTTAAAGATGCTATAAATAGATATGTTCCCTTGATATCTTATGAGTTGAATGTAGTAAACGCAAAATTTCCCTTTCAGAATGGTGCAGAACAAAGTGGACGTCACGCTAAATATTTCCTAGTTTATGCATTAGGTGTAAAATTTTTATATTCGATATCGATAACAAAGCATCACAGGGGGTGAATTTATGAACTACTCATTTTTAAAGTACTCTCTCATTCAAATCCTATACTTTCTAAACGGTAGATTCTACTCCGTCGTAGTAAAGATTACAATTCCTTTCAAAATTCACCGAACTTTAACACTGACGAGGAAGTTTTTCGATACACTACTAATTCTTCTCGCATTTCTGACTATTGTAGTTTCTGACTATAGTATTTCCAGTCAATGAAAAAAAAAACTTTTGTAAAAAGGGCCCTTGACAATTTGGCCACAATTTAGCTGACAGTATTTGTTGGTCCTCTTTTATTTTGGGTATACCTGCATCATGGGCCATCTTCTCAAGTCCATCGCCCATTCATATTCAGTCAATCGTGGCAGTCTTCTTCGAGTGTTTTAAAATTTCTTTCAAAATCTATAAACGGGAGGGGGATACTTTTCGTTTATAAGCATGCGATATATTAAATAATGTAGTGAGAGATTGATTATGCCTATTCTTGGTTTGGATCACATACTTAACAGATTCGATATTTTCATATTATGGTGTGTGTGTGTGTGTGTTATGTGTGTGTGATTATGGAAAAGCCTCGAGGGCTATCCTTTTCATATTAAAATACAACACGAGCGAAGCATCTACCTTTCCTGATCATCATAACGAAAGTTTTATTGATTGTCCTTCATGAAGATGCTTTACAAAGACGGCTAGGCACTTGATGCCTCTTTCAAAAGTCGCAAATAAAATGGAATTGCAATAATTTCGTTTATTGAGCATTAAAAGAGCTATATAAGAAATTTTAAATGTTTAATGGGTAACCAAATTTCATTCAATTGGAATGTGATAATTTCAATAAAGTCTTTTTTTTTTACTTCTTTACATACTATATAAACTAATCCCTTGATTACAAGGTCCTCCAACGCCAAGGGTTTCTGAACGACTCGAAGGCGGTTGTAATGTTTACAGGGTACGGAATTCTGTTGCATGCTTATGATGCTCCTTATACCCATAACAGTAAATTGCTAAACTCTCTCTCTTATTGATAATGTTATTCTTAGTTTTATAAAAAAAGTCGCATGTAAATTTAAAACAATTAATATGAAATGATTCTTTGTAAACACAATAACAAAATTTGAAAAATCATTTTTGATATTTAAATTTTATAATTTAGTTTTTATAATTTAAAGCAATAAACAGCGCCTAACCCAACAATACCAACTTTGACCTTAAAAACGCACTTCATCTTCTTGAATTTTTGGCGGTAGACGACTTCTGGGGAAGTAAAAGGAAAAATTTCTGTCTTTATTTAATTTTTTAAAAGTAACTTGACGCTTAATTTTTACCTCCAACAAAAGAAACAAGCACATAACTATGAATGTAATTAAATCAACTGAGTAAAATATAGTATCTCTTTTACGTAATACGCTCCGATAAGTATATACCAGCTGTGTTAAGAAATTAAAATAGTTATCATGTCCGTTTGGCTAGCTCGAATTATTTAATTATGACAAAGCCCACGACTTTTATCTTTTATTCTAAAAGTTGATTTTTGTGAGGAATGTTTAAGGGAACTTCATGTAGCTAGCCGCTCAATTGGAGAGATTCATTTAGCTTAATTAATTATAGAACAGCGGGCAAACTCCATTTGCTTAAGGGAAGTAATGTCCTCAATTCCTATGCACGTGACGCATGGAGAACATCTCGGAAACGCGTGTGTATCCAGCCCATTCTTCAGAGTTTGAAGCCAGAGTTTGAAGCCAGATTTTGAAGCCGGCTGAACTATCAATGCTTAGATTGGTAGATCAGATTATTCACTGATGAGCATCCAATCTGACAGAACAGTCTCTCCCGTTACGACATTCTGATTGCCATCAAATACGCAGATTGCAACATTCATGTACGCAGAGGAAAGAGTTTTGCAACTTGAATTACTCGGCTGCTCAGAGGCAAGTGATTGTGACTGTTACCCTTTTCACTTCAAGGTTCGGTGTAGAACTACACGTTTATTGCCTCGGAAAAGACTTAATGCAAGAAGCACTTTTTAAAAGCACTTTCTAAGGGAACTTGATTCATATTTACATTGCTCAAGATGTAAAATCAAAACCCACACATGAAGCCAGCCCGTTCCTCGAGATCTGAACCCAGGTCGAATTACTAGTATTCTGCTGTCTTATCCATTTTTCCACGGTGAGCCCCACACGCTTGCCCTTAATTAGTTATTCATTTAAGTCCTGTAGATAAGCCGTTCTTCGGTGTTAGCAAGGCTTCTGGACGTTGATGATTTTGTTCACGGGACATCGTTTAGAAAAATTAGCGAAATTAAAATTTTATACAGACCTCATCATTAGAAGGCTCAGGTTAGTAAATTTTTCCTTATCCTGCTAAATATCTTCTTGGATTTAGGAAAAAGACAACTACGTTTTATAAAATATTGCTTGTCCCCAAATTTTTCAAAGTTGCATGATTGAAACAGCTTTAACTAGGTAAAGAAAGAGTCGTCTTAAGAGATTATCACATATGGCTACAGTCCCTGCTAGACGGGACTTTTCTGAGAAACGAGATTCTGGTAGCACTGGTTTAAATGGGGGGATTCCTAGAAAAAACAGCCCCGCTGGAAGCGAAGTCCCGCCTAGCTACGGAAAAATGTTGCGGCTACGCGGGATGTTTTCAAACCTTACCGAAAATGTCTTGGCTGCACCTCAGGTTCCGGGTACAGACAACCAATCAGACGAAAGTTCTGTTTCTGAAGGATCACGTGATTCCAATTTGAGCGATAATCGATTACTGTTTGGCGTTCAAGGTCTTTGTAGTGAGAATGATAATCTAGCTACGTGTGTTTCCTGGGAATTGTGCGGGTTCTGAGAATTGTCCATTTCGACGTCACGTCCTGCGTAACCGAAACATAATGTGATTGGGACCTTAGGGATATTTAAGGCTGACTTTTGTTAAGCAAAAATTTCTGATTCTCTTCCCCCCCCCCAAATGGGATATGAAACTAATGTTTCTAAACTATTATCTTTCTGCTGCAAAAGAAGAAGTTTGAAAGCTTAAAAGACTTAGCCATCTTTAGCTAACTTTGCTTACTCTCTCCAGAAATTTTAATTTATGATATCTCCAGAAATTTTGGTTGTAGAAGGGTTAAATGTTTTGCTTCACAAATTCATTTAAAATAAATAATTTTTTTAATGGCAGTTTTTTCTTGACCGTTCGTATAAGTGTATTTTTACTTTAAGGCGTCACGTTACCAAAAATGTCATAATCTAAAGGTCTACCTTATTTGATTTATTTCTTAACGTGCGAGCATTTGTCTGCGATGAATAATTCACAGGTTTTCAAGTACTGTAATCTTCTTTAAGCCTCCTCTTTAGCGTAAACATACTATTTTCTTGCCTACTTAAAAGTTTTTTTGATTCTCTACTACAACTATATTTGTTGTGCATAGTTTAAGTTAAAGAAAATTTGATATTTGAGTAAACAATTGCTATAGTATGGTATCCTAAAACTACTCAGTATATTTTAAGTTAGGAGTACCTGCAAAGAAAACTGTTGTCGAGGCAGACTAGGTTTAGGAGTTCAAAGGCTTATAATAATTGCAACTTTAGCTAACGTTTAGCTGATTTAAGGTTAGAACAACGATTTTTATTTTTGTTTTTGAAGAATGCAAAGCTAGATAGAGTATACCGAATTTCATTTTTGAATAAGTATAGTGCCGCTAAGTGGTTCATTACTGCTGAATACTATATGCAAATTTGAATGATAAAAGAGCACAAGTTAGGCAACTGAATGTTCTTATCTTCCGTAGCAAAACTTTTTGTGCTTAGTTTCACTTTAACTTTTGAGTTAAACTTTTTACTTTTGCGGTTAGTTCTGTATCTGAAATTATTGCAAAATGTGCCTAAAGATGTGTAACTACCTATGTTGGCTTTTGAAAGAGGTGTTTACTTTCGTTGTCAAGTTCATAGACATAACAGTTTTACCTCAGAGAAAAATAAGTGAGTAATTTTTTTTTCCAAAGTAAAAATTTTAAATGTCTCACTAACTTACACCGTTTATTTCATGTTCAATCGAAATTTTTAGAAATAATTTAAAGTTTGCTTTACATTATTCTTTCTTTAATGAAATGCTGTCAAATATATGGAAAATGTATATATATGTATATGGGTATGGATTTGGGTTCGGTAACTTTGAAGAGCAAAGCACGTTTTCAGAATATATTCGCAACTTTCATTACTGAATTAAGACTCTTAATTTTAAATTATAGTCTCTGTGTGAAAGGATTAAAGTTTTATTGTTAACTTGGCCGTGTGCTCTGTTGTCAATACTGTAAGCGTTTGATTGTTGCATAATGATGCATTTTGAATTTCTTATGTAGATATATAATTTCCTTATTAAATTTTATGTATACTTTTATGGTAACTGAAATTTCTTTCATTTTAAATCTAATTTTTAAGAACTCACTTTTCATAATTAACTAAGTGAATGCAATGGTAAATCTAAATAATATCTAAATTAAACACTTAAATCTTTTGTAATATGTAGGAATTTCTTGTTTATTTCATGCAAAATTCACTTAAAAGGCATTATTCTTAAGAGTATAATTATGTTTCGTAACTATCTAAAGGTGAAAAACAATGAGCCTACAATTTTTGGGATATTTTAACATGTCGGACTTTCATTTACCTTTATTTCTTGGGTCCGTGACACTTAGTCGACACGGACTGTTGGTTTACAAGAATTCCAACCGAGACACGGACATTCAACCGACAGAACACTTAACCGACGCAAACACTTATCCGAATCGGACAGTTAGTCGACATTTA